CGGGATGCGCACTGTAGCAGTGCGCCACCGGGCCGGCCCCAATGACTCTTAGACTTTTTGTCCCTTAGTGGCCCACTACAGAAAATTTGGTGCTTATTATGGAAAATAGATTCCATGATTCCATTAGCAAGCATAACACCCACTTTATAACTTCTCAGAGTGTATATTTGTGGTCTCTTTGCTTCCGGTCATGTTTCCTTCCATCTTTCTTCCCATCTGCTACCAGTTACTGTTCCAGAACATAAAATAGGGTCCTGTCTCTGCTTTAAAATCCTTCAGCAGCTACCAGTTGCCATCAAGATAAAAGCAACAGCAATAGCCACCATTCACTGAGAATTTACTATGTGCTTTCTCTAGTTTCTCACTCCACCACCCAGCCATACTGAAGAACTTGCAATTAAAATCCTTCAGCAGCTACCAGTTGCCATCAAGATAAAAGCAACAGCAATAGCCACCATTAACTGAGAATTTACTATGTGCTTTCTCTAGTTTCTCACTCCACCACCCAGCCATACTGAAGAACTTGCAGTTTTCTGAGTACACTAGGGTTTCTCACCCTCTCTATGCCTTCAGCATAGTATTTCTTTTTTCTGGACTGACTTCTCATCTTTCTGTTTCTTTCCTTTGTCTGGCTAACCCCTCTCATCCTTCAAAATATAGTTCATCTATCTCTTCTCAAGGACGCCTTTCCTTACGTTCTTCCTCTTCTGCCTGGCCCAGTCACCAACCCCTGCTATGCTAGATTAAGTGTCTTTCTTAGATATTTACATAAAACCCTGTGCAAACCTCAATCATAGCTCTCATCACATTTTGAATTGTAATTTGTTGCTTGCTTGTCATTCTTCGAGACCAGTGGTTCTCAACTTGGGGCAGAATCACCCAGGGGACATTTGTCAGTATCTGGAGACATTTTTGGTTGTCACAGTCAGGATGCTACTGCCATCATCTAGTGGGTAGAGGCCAGGTATGATGGTAAATAAACATCCTACAATGCACATAGCAACCCCCCCAACAAAGAATTATCAAGCCCAAAGTGTCATTAGTGCTGAGGTTGCAAAACCATACTCTAGAGTTCCTTGAGGTCTAGGACTGTGTTTTTTTACCTCTTTTTCCAGCACACCCTTTTGTAAGGTCTGTTACTTACTACGTATTCAGTAAATGTTTGAGTGGATCAATGAATTCTTAGCAGAATCAATTACCAAGTTTTCAGTTTGTGTATCTGAAAGTATATACTGGGAAACCAAAGACTAAATGTATGAGTTTGTAAATATTTGAATTACCAAATGATTTTCCATTTCATTTCTGGAGAGCAGATTCACCTTGAGCATTTAAAAATTTCAGTTGACATAGCTTATTTTCAGTTCTTATCTCTGGTAAAGTAGTGAGTCCCGTATATATCTTCCTTATTAGAAACTGATAATATTTACTCTTTTCACTTTAATTTTGGAGAAGTCAAGGCTTATATATTACATACCACATGTAGTTTTCATGTTCTGAATTGTAATTTAATTTGAGTCTTACTAGAATACTTATGGATAAAATTTTTATAAATATACATTTCTGAAATTCAGTTTTTAATTATTATTGCTTATTATCAATTGTTTGGGTTCAGGAGTGCTAGGGCATCGTGATTTTTTTCTTAAGATGACTAAAAAAGAACATTACGATTTTATGTATTGTTAAAGAGAAAAGCATTTAGCAGCAAAAAAGAAGAGAATGAACTACTGATACAGGCTACAACATAGATGAACCTTGAAAAAATTATGCTGAGAGAAGCCAGTCATGAACGACTATACGTATTGTATGATTCCTTTTATATGAAATGCCCACAATAGGCTTCTTAGAGAAGCAGATTAGTGGTTGCCAGTGGTGGGATGGGCGGAGGGTGAAGGTAGGCAGTGACTGGTAATGGGTGTAGGGTTTCTTTTTGGGGTGATGAAAATGTTCTAAAATTGATCGTGGTAATAATTGCACAGCTCTAAGAATGTATTAAAAACCACTGAACTCTACATCTAAATGGGGGAATTTTATGGTATGCGATTATATTCCAATGAAGCTGTTAAAAAAGAAAAATTCAGTCAAAAGTGAGTAATTCAAAAGATTTACCTCCCAATTGTTTCATTCAGTGTAGTTTATTCTCTTAGGTTGAAAGAATTACATAAAAAAAGGTCTTATAACTAAAAGTGTGCAGTGTTTTCTTTTTTTTTGGTTTGAAAAGGATGCAATTGTGCATTTGCTTAGTCTTATTCCTTTAATTCACGTAGCCTATTCCTTAATATCGTTCTTTGTGTTTAATTCTTGATCAAAGCGTTAGTAAAAAATGGAAGGTAATACCTTTTGTGTACTTCAGAGAGAAGACAACACTGGAATGTATTGTACCTTGGGCAGTGGTCTACCTTGTGGTGATTGTTGTTTTATGTGTTGCAGGGAAGGAGACTGGTGGGAAGCAAGATCAATCGCTACAGGAAAGAATGGTTATATCCCTAGCAATTATGTAGCGCCTGCAGATTCCATTCAGGCAGAAGAGTACGGCACTGCTTCATATTTTATTAATTATTTTTATTTTTAAAATGTTTTAATGCACATTCCACTTAGCCACAACTTTACACACACGCAATTACATACCAGTCTTAATACGGCTCATGTATCATATTAATAGATGCTATTTGAAAATTAATAATTAATGTCATAGTATCTACTTAGAGTAGTGTCATAAATGAATCTGCATCAGTCATACTGCGTTTAGTCTCTCTCCTTTTGCTTCTTTTTTAAAATATTAACCCTTTTCATTCTCTGCATACTCAGTCACTTTAAAAATTTACCTTCAGTTAGTAGTATTGTATCAGTGTTAACTTCTTGATTAGATTCTTGCATTATGGTTATGTAAGAAAGTATGCTTGTCTTTTAGGAAGTATACCCTGAAGTATTTAGGGGTAATGGTTCAGCATGTTTGCACCTTACTCTCAATCAGTTCAGAGGGAAAAAAATATATCTGTGTGTGTGTGTGCGCATGCATGCATGCATAAACACATACATATATAGAGGGGGAGAAAGAGTATCACAAAGTGAAATGTTAACCAAGTTGGGGTTTATGGGGGTTCTATGTACTGATCTTGCAACTTTAAGAAAGTTCACCTTCAGTGACATATTACTTTTAGGTCAAACTAGTTTATCTGGAATCCATAAATGCTGCTTCATTTTTATATCATAACACTTAACAAAGTGCCTTGTATATAGTAGGTGCTCTGTCAATATTTGTTTGCTTTTACTAATGTTATGTAATTTGTCTCATTAGTTCTCTGTTCTGCTGTGGCATTTGACACTTCATGTTTTTTCTTTTGTCTTATGCCAGTATTCTTTGAGCTCTTCCACAGCAGAGACTGTCATTTCTGTTCACAAAACTTTATGAAATAATAAAATCCACACAAATTTAGAGTTCCTAATAATGTGGGTGTGGATACTTGCATCTTACTGAATACAGATGATAACACTGTTAGTGCAGAACCACCTCTGTTCTTCTTACTATAGTCTTAGTATTTCCCTCTGTTGCCAACAAAAGGATTTACTGTTTTTAAGCTATGTTCTATAGCTATGCTTTATCATCCACCCTAACCCACTTTGTTCTTATTGATACTTATATATATTTTTTCTGACCCTCATACCTTTCCAGCTGAGAACACTTATTTTTTTTCCAGATGGTATTTTGGCAAAATGGGGAGAAAAGATGCTGAAAGATTGCTTCTGAATCCTGGGAATCAACGAGGTATTTTCTTAGTGAGAGAGAGTGAAACTACTAAAGGTATCCATATTGTTATATTAATATAAGGATAAAAATTTCCTTGGGAAGTATTTTCAGAAAGATATAGTAAAAGGATTCATTTTCTCTCCTAGGTGCTTATTCCCTCTCTATTCGTGATTGGGATGAGGTAAGGGGAGACAATGTGAAACACTACAAAATTAGGAAACTTGACAGTGGTGGATACTATATCACAACCAGAGCTCCGTTTGATACGCTGCAGAAATTGGTGAAACACTACACAGGTAGGTGAATATTTCAAAGGTAAAAATTATTTTCTATGTTCTGTTTTATGAGGGCAAAATCCATATCTTCATTTCTCTTAAGGTTTAACACAGTTTTTACATACAGTGTGTGCCCAGTAAATGTCTGTTGTATTCTAGTTTTAAAAAGACAAGTGATAGTACCTTAACTGAGTTGTTGGATAATGTGCTAAAATCAAATTATGATCATTTGAGTCCTTTGTTTTATTGGCATAGTGTTTATATTGGAGTTTCGTTTCATAACGTGTAAATACCAAGATAGATAATGAAAATAAATTTTAAGAACATACGAGCAAATGTTTTATTTATGGACACTTACTAGGTAGGTAAAACTAAACACTTAACTTAAAAGCTCTGTAAGTTGTCCTTTTGGATTACCATCCCCTGCATGGGCTGCATCATGTAAGTTTTCCTAAAGTATAAATCCAGTGAAATTTGGTCTGGAGATTTGTTTTTCCCATCCTAGAAAATGAATCTATAGCAACTATAGACATTCCTGTCTTTCAAGGACCTTTGAAAGGTAGTCAATATGAGAGTCTTGTGTCTCAGTTTTTCAATACAAATTTAATATATGAATGCATCTAAAAGTCTTTAAATGATTGATACTAGGGGAGGGGAAGAAATTCCATGATAATTTCTTCTTCAAGGACAGCGAGCTGCAACCCGAGTTTGTCAAGTCAACCAGTAATCTTGACATTGACATCACTTGTAATTGCCCTTGTTAGAATGAATTTGTGTGGTTACTGGATGAGAATGACAGGGAGTGTGTCATTTACAAAAAGAAAGTCTGTCTAAGCAGGATTCACAAGTCAAGCCGTTATGACTCTGGGGTTTCCTGCCTTTGTGTCTCCCTTATTTAAAAAATCAGTCCCCTAGCCAGTTAGTTCACTTGGTTTGAGTACAGTGTTATAACACCAAAGTCAAGGGTTCAGATCTCCATACTGACCAGCCACCAAAAAAGAGAAAAAGGGTCAGTCCCCTAAATAAACTTTTCTCTTGATTTTTGGTATGCCTCTAACAGATAAGTGATAGCATTCTCTTTTGTAATTAATGATAGCATTTTCTTTGGTAATAAATAAAGTCCAGTAGTCAAAAGCAGAAATTAGAAAGCAGACAGACCAGGGTTTGAATCCCGTCTCCATCACTTACTAACTGTGGGAACTTGGGAAGGTTGCATTAAGTTTTCCAAGCCTCATTTATATGAGATACTTGTAAAGTGCTGAATTAGCACAGTAGGCTGGAACGTAATAAGTATTTAGTAATAATAATAACTTAAAAAATGTATTTAGCATTTGGTCACACCTGTCTCAGCACTGGACAGATCATCTAGGCAACAAATCAACAGAGGAACAGTTAATTTCCGAGATGGAGAGAACAAATCTATGGTTATTAGAGGGGAGAGGGGGAGGGGAAGGGAAAGGAGAGAAGGGGGAGGAGGGATTGAATAAAGGATCTAAAGAATAAGTATGACTTGTAATAATGATTATGCTAATAAAAATGTTTTAAAAATCCTGTAACTGATATTATGTAAAAAATTGTATTTAACAAAATGTTTCCCTTCTTATATATACCTTATGTATTGCTTTGTATAGACAATTCCCTTTTTGTGTTTGTTGTTATAGTAAAACTGATAGGACATTATGCTTTTGTTTTTCTACAATTTAAACTTTTAAAAATGTTGATACACTTTATGTACCTTAATTTTTGTGTAATCCATTTCACAGTGTAGTTTATTTATTTATCTAGAACATGCTGATGGTTTATGCCACAAGTTAACAACTGTGTGTCCAACTGTGAAACCGCAGACTCAAGGTCTTGCAAAAGATGCTTGGGAAATCCCTCGTGAATCTTTGCGACTAGAGGTTAAACTAGGACAAGGATGTTTTGGTGAAGTATGGATGGGTAAGAAGCGTGAACTTTTGTTTTTTTGTCATTGTTTAGCCATAGATTAAATTGCCACAGTTTATGATTAAATATGTTTAAATATTTAAGGTAATTGCTCTTCATTGAAGTTTGGTCTAAAATCCCTTAAAATATAGATTGAAATAGTAAAATGCATTGTTTCTCTAGGAACATGGAATGGAACCACAAAAGTAGCAATCAAAACACTAAAACCAGGTACAATGATGCCAGAAGCTTTTCTTCAAGAAGCTCAGATAATGAAAAAATTAAGACATGATAAACTTGTTCCACTATATGCTGTTGTTTCTGAAGAGCCCATTTACATTGTCACTGAATTTATGTCAAAAGGTATGTGTATATTAGTTCCTTTTAGGGTATTTGTGTTGATGAATTTTTAAAACGTCTTTATTTTTATTTTTATCCATGTACAGTTGGCCCTTGAATAACATGGATTTGAAATGCGTGAGTCTACTTATATGCAGATTTTTAAAATAAATATATTGGAAAACTTTTTGGAGATTTGCAACAATTTGCAAACACTCACAGATAAACCATGTAGCCTAGAAATACTGAAAAAATTAAGCAAAGGTTAAATATGTCGGGAATACATAAAGCGTATGTAGATACTAGTCTGTTTTATCATTTACTACCATAAAATTATAATTGATTAATTAATTTATTAAAACTTATGCACACTAACCCAGACCAGACATGTTGCCATTTGCAGTTGAGAGCAATGTAAACAATTGTAGAGATGCAGTATTAAATTCTAACTGCATGATACGGTACTACTGTAGTCAGCTCCTGTTGCTGTAGCCCTGAGCTCATGTGTTGTGAGTATCCACTTAAAATGCTTTGTGACGCTAATCATCCCCACAGAAGCAGCTCTCTCTGCAGTAAATTGCTATCGCAGTGAAAAGTAATCTTTCACTCTTTCTGTTCCTTATTATCTTCTTAATAATGTTTCCTTTTCTCTACCTTACTTTATTGTAAAAATATAGTATACGATGTACATATGACATACAAAATATGTATTAATTGACTCTCCATATTATCGTTAAGGCTTCTGGTCAACAGTATGCTTTAGGTGGTGGAATTGAAAACTTAGATTTTCAACTGCTCCAGGGGGTCGGCTCCCTTAACTCCCCCCACCTACCTCACCCCTGTTGTTCATGGGTAAACTGTAGATTTTTATTGTATAGTGTTTTTTCGTTTCAGATTTTTATGTAGACATTTGAAAAGAAGAAATCTGATACTTTGTTTAACAGAATAGTTACTGAATAGTTTCAGAGGACAGTGTAAAATTTAAAACAAAAATTAAGAAGGGAAAATTTATTTTTAATGTAGGCTTGAGTAAAGGAAATGGAATAGCTTGGAAAGTGAAAAATAAGAAAGTATTTGCAAATTGAGTTAAAATGATAATATCAAAAAGATATCTTTAGTACAAAAGCAAAGAAATAGGTAAAGGAAATTAGTTTCATCTCATTTTAATATAAACATAATCCCCTTGCTCAGGATTCCAAGAACCTGCTGTTTTCTGCCACTGTCAACTGAAATTTATCCATTCTTCTAAACCCCAGACCACAGGGGTGGGATCGTCAGTAACAGGGTTGGTTATTGGCTGGGACGAAGAGAAGGGAAAGCTGACGCTCTTTCCTCTCTTTCCCTTTGCTAATGATGCTTTAAAATAGGACCCAGTAAGTCAGAAAATATGCCAACAAGCCTGATTTTTACCTATTTTGAGTTTGATCAATTTTTTTTTTTTACTCTTTTGAATCAGTTGTCCATCTATAGTTAAAGCCACTGAGTATGTCAGTCTGTCTTGACCAGTGATGTAGTTCCATCTAGTGGTGACAGGGGCAACTACAACCTATTTGCTATAGGAAAAATTTTCCCCTCAAAAGGGCCTGAAACCAAAAGTGAAGAAGTGACATAGCCTATTAATTGATAGCCAGAACAAACCTAAAGCCCTAAATCACATGGCACTCTTTTGATGGAACTTCTATTGCAAACAACTGCCAGATGTGCCATTTCAAAGAGTGCATTGGATGAACTAGAAGAGAGAGACAAGGAGGAAATTTTTTTTATTTTTATTTATTTATTTCATTGAAAGATAATTGATTATACATATCTGTGAGGTACGGTGTTGAATATCAACACTTGTGTGCAAAATGTGATGCTCAAATCAGAATAATTTCAACAATAATATTCAACATCATACAACATAATCCTATTTTGTGGCCCTATACCAATTTCTTGCTAACCTCCTTTCACCCTCCCCTTTCCCACCTCTGGTGGCCTCAGTTCTCTTTTATCCTTTTGAAAATCCATTGAATTATTGTGATTCTTTTATGTCTCTTTATTTATTTGTTTATTTCTTTAGCTCCTACTTATGAGTGAGGAACTGCAGTGTTTCTCTTTCTGTGCCTGGCTTGTTTCTCTTAACCTAAGTTTCTCTAAGATTGTCCATATTGCTATGAATGGCAGAATTTCATTCTTTGTTATGGCAGAGTAGTGTCCCATTGTGTATATATACCACATTTCCTTTATCCAGTCTGTCGGTGGACATTTACATTGGTTCCAACTCTTGGCTATTGTAAATAGAGCTGCAAAGAACATGGGAGTGCAGGTATCCCTTCAACATGATAATTTCCATTTCTTTGGGTATGTACCCAGAAGTGGGATTGCTGGATTGTATGTTGGTTCTATCTGTTGTTGTTTGAGGAGCATCCATACTGTTGATGTGTATATCACATTTATTGACTTGCGTCAATGTAAATGTTGAATTATCCTTGCCTCCCTGGGATGAGTCCCACTTGATCCTGGCTTATAATTTTTTGGGTGTGTTGCTGAATTTTATTCACTAATATTTTGTTGAGGATATTTGCATCTATGTTCATAAGAGATATTGGCCTGTAGTTTTCTTTTTTTGTTTTGTCTCTGTCTGGTTTTGGTATCACGGTGATGCTGGCCTCATAGAATGAGTTTGGGAGAATGGCCTTTGTTTCAATTTTTTGGAATAATTTGAAGATAACTGGTATTAATTTCTCTTTAAAGGTGTGGTAGAATTCAACAGTAAAGCCATCCGGTCCTGAGCTCGTCTTTGTTGGGAGACAGCTGATTATTTCTTCAGTTTCATTGGTGGTTGTTGGTCTCTTCAGATCTTGTATTTCTTCTTGGTTTAGTCTTGGTCGTTTATGTGTGTCCAGAAATTTATCCATTTTCTTCAGGTTTGCAAATTTGTTTGTAATAGTCTCTAATGATTCTTTGTATTTCTTTTTTTTTTTTTCCCCTTTTTGTCTTTTTTTACTGACCATAGTCTTGGTCGTTTATGTGTGTCCAGAAATTTATCCATTTTCTTCAGGTTTGCAAATTTGTAATAGTCTCTAATGATTCTTCGTATTTCTTTTTTTTTTTTTTCCCCTTTTTGTCTTTTTTTACTGACCGGCAACGGGATCGCAACTCTCGGTGTCGCGCCCGCACCGCGCTCAGCCAGTGAGCGGGAACCGGTCTCCACATGGGATCTGAACCCTCGGCGGGAGCGCCGCCACACTCCCAAGCGGCGCACTCTCCAGTGCGCCACCGGGCCAGCCCAGATTCTTTGTATTTCTATTGTATCAGTTGTAATGTCTCCTTTCCCATTTCTCGTTTTTGTTATATGGCTCTTTTTTTTTTTTTTCTATTTAGCCTTGATGACAGCTTGTCAATATTTATCTTCTCAAAAAACCAACTTTTTGTTTCATTGATCTTTTGTATCATTTTTTGGTTCTCTATTTCATTTAGTTCTGCTTGATCTTAATTATTTCTTTCCATCTACTAATTTTGATATTGAATTGCTCTTTTTTAGTTCTTTGAGGTGTAGTGTTAGGTTGTTTATTTGAAATCATTCTGTTCTTTGATGTAAGCATTTATTGCAATGTTTCCCTCTTAGTATGGCTTTTGCAGTATCCCATACATTTTGGTATGATGTATCTTTATTTTCATTAGTTTCAAGAAATTTTTTTTTTTCCCTTTTTTTTTTGTCTTTTTTCGTGTCCGGCAACTCCCAAGCGGCGCACTGTAGCAGTGCACCACCAGGCCGGCCCTCAAGAAATTTTTTGATTTTCTGTTTCATTTCTTCTTGAACCCATAGGTCATTGAGGAGCATGTTGTTTAATTTCCATGTATTTGTACAGTTTCCAGAGTTTTGCTTGTTATTTCTAGTTTTAATCCATTGTGGTCTGAAAAGATTTCAATTTTTAAAAATTTCTTGGGCCAGCCCCGTGGTGCACTCGGGAGAGTGCAGCGCTTGGGAGCGCAGTGGTGCTTCCCACCGCGGGTTCAGATCCTATATAAGGATGGCCGGTGCGCTCACTGGCTGAGCGTGGTGCGGGTGACACCGGGCCAAGGGTTGCGATCCCCTTACTGGTCACAAAAAGGACAAAAAAAATTTTTTTTGTTGAGACTTGATCAGTGACCTAACACGTGGTCTGTCCTGGGGAATGTTCCATGTACTGATGAGAAGAATGTATATTCAGTAGTCATTGGATGAAATGTTCTGTAGTTATCTACCAGGTCCAATTGATCTAAAGTGTAGTTTCAATCCTGTGTTTCTCTGTTGGTTTGTTGCCTAGATGATCTGTGCAATGGAAAGAGGGGTGTTCAGGTCCCCAACTATTATTGTATGGGGTCTGTCTCTTTCTTTAGGTCTGATAGTGTTTGCTTTATATATGTGGGTGCTCTGGTGGTGGGTATATATATATTGATAATTGTGTCTTCTTTCTGGATAGATCCCTTTATCATTATATGGTGTCCTTCTTTGCCTCTTTTTATGGTGTTTGATTTAAAGTCTGTTTTATCTGATAGAAGAATAGCTACTCCTGCTTGTTTTTTATTCCTATTTGCATCGTGTTCCTTTTTCTGTCCCTTCATTATTAGTCTGTGTGTGTCTTTACAGATGAGGTGAGTTTCTTGTAGACAGCATATATTTGGGTCTAGCTTCTTAATCCACACAGCCAGTCTATGTCTTTTGAGTGGAGAATTAATCTATTAACATTTCGTGTTGTTATTTAAAGTTATTGTCATACTCCTGGCATTTTATCTATTTTTGTTTGGATGTTTTAAATATATTTTGTTCCTTTCTTTCCCTTTTATTGTTTGTCCTTGGTGTTTATTGGTTGTTTTGAGGTGGTGGATATAGTGTCTTTCTCTTTCTTGTTTGCATTTTTGTTCTCCCAATGCATTTTGTTCTGTCTTGTATATTCAAGGTAGTGATTATCATTTTTTGGATTCCATATGCAGGACTCCCTTAAGGATTTCTTGTAAGGCTGGTTGTGTGGTCATGAACTCCCACAGTTTTTGTTTGTCTGGGAGATACACTGTTTCTCCCTCATTTCTGAAGGATAGCATTGCTGGGTATAGTATTCTTGGCTGGCAGTTTTTTTCTTGCAGTATTTTGAATATATCATCTCATTCTTTTCTGGCCCGTAGACTTTCTGTTGAGAAATCTGCTGTTAGTCCGATGGGGGCTCTCTGATAAGTGACTTTTCACTTTTGCTGTTTTTAAGATATTTTCTGTCTTTGAGTTTTGCTGGTTTGACTATCATGCGTCTCCAAGAGGATGTTTTTGAATTGAGTCTGTTTGGTGAGTTTTGAGCCTCCTGAATCTGAAGGTTCATGTCTCTCTTTACGCCTGGGACATTTCCTGCTATTATTTAATTCAGTAGTTTTTCAATGCCTTTTCCTTTCTCCTCCCCTTCCAGAACACCCATGATTTGGATGTTTGTGCATTTATGGTTGCCTGCTAGCTCTCTAGATTTTCTTCACTTTTTGGATTCTTTCTTCTGCCTGCTCTAATCTGCTGCATAAGCTCTCAAATTTTTTTTCTTCCATTGATTGAATCCTTCAGTTCAAGGAGGTTCTGCTACATTCTTTTTTTTTTTTTTTCCCCTTTTTGTCTTTTTTCGTGACTGGCAACGGGATCGCAACCCTCGGTGTCACGCACGCACCGCGCTCAGCCAGTGAGCGGACCGGTCTCTATATGGGATCCGAACCCTCAGCGGGAGCGCCGCCACGCTCCCAAGCGCCACAATCAACCGAGTGCGCCACCGGGCCGGCCCGAGCTACATTCTTTTTTTTTTTTTTTCCTTTTTGTCTTTTTTCATGACCGGCAACGGATCGCAACCCTCAGTGTCACACCCGTACCGGCCCGGGACCGGCAACGGGATCGCAACCCTCCGTGTTGCTCCCTGCACCTTGCTCAGCCAGTGAGCGGGAACCGGTCTGTACGTGGGATCTGAACCCTCGGCGGGAGCGCCGCCGCGCTTCCCAAGCGGCGCACTGCAGCAGTGCGCCACCGGGCCGGCCCTACATTCTTTTTTAAGGCATTAATCTCTTTGTAAATTTCCTCCTCATGTCCTGGATAGTTTTTCTCATTTCATTGTGTCATCTTAGTCTTCTCATATCTCATTGAGTTTCCTTCAGATTGTTGCTTAGAATTCCTTTTTAGTCATTTCAAGGGTTTCTTTCTGTATGGGGTCTGGTACTTGAGAATTATTGTGTTCCTTTGGTGGTGTCATATTTTCTCATTTTTTTCATATTTCTTTTATCTCTATGTTGATGTCAGGTCATCCCGTAGAGCAATTGCTTCTATTACTCTTGGCTGTGAGGAGAGAGACTTCCTCCTGTATATATGTTTTTTAATTTTGACCATTAAGCACGGTGTTTTAGTATTGGTCCCAGGTAGATGGAGTAGTATAGTCTCTGTGGGGGTGCTTTGGCTATATTCAGTGTTAGAGTTGTGCATGAGTGCCTCTGTGGCCTAGGCACTTAGTGGTTTCTTGCTAAGGTAAATAACACTGTGTTGGTTCATCAAGGACATAGGCAAGCTCTCAAGTTTTTTGGAGAAGCACCTGGGTGCCCTGTCACTCTTTGGCTGGAGTGGGTGACCCTGGGCAGGCTTACTGGAACCCTGGCTGGCATCACATAACCCTGATGGGTGCACTGGGATATATTGGAGCTCCTCAGTTTGAATGGGTGATCCTGGGTGGGTTTTCTCTTTCCTTTTTCCTACAGGCAGAGGCTCTTCCTGGGCCCTTGCTTCCCCCAGTTGGGGGATGGGTTGGTGGTGATTGGGAATTTTCTTCCTTACTGTATTTGGGTATCCTGGGTTTCCACACTCTTTGGGATGGGGGTCTGTGTGTGTCTCCCCAGATCAAGGCAGTTGCATGGGCTGTGCACATACTTCCCACCCATAGGTATGCTACTGTGTATGGCAGCATAATTCCCCCTGTGGGTTGGACCACTGGGTCTTGGGTCAGTACTTGCTTATCTCTTTCCCTGGGCTCTGCTGGTGACTCTCTGTGTCACTGCAGTCCAATGGGTTGTAGGCCACCTGCACAGTGGCTGTGGTGGCAAGCCCCCTTGCATTGGCAGTGGCTGTGAATGTGGCGGATCACACCAGGCAGCAATGTCTGTGGCAGCAGCAGGGTCTGCCCTTGGCTCCTGTGGTCCCACGTCCTTCTGCCATTTCTCCAAGGGGAAGTTTACATCAAGATATTAGTAGCATAAGAAATATAATGGAGGTAAGGTCTATTTGTCTCTGTGTATTGATTTCAATAGTTATTTAATTGGGGGAACATGGTAGAATTCTGTGTCATCATATCACTGGGTTAGGATAATTTCCAGAGGTGGAAGATTTAGAATACAAGATAACGGAAGGCCTTTCTAGTTTTAAGATTGTAATTCCCCATTTTGGTATTCAGTTACTTGGCAGCTGGCCATCTATAATGCATCCCAAACTCATTGCCTCTTGTTCTCCAACATAAAGCCACTATTCTGGACAGATAGACCTTGTTGCCCCTTGTTTCTGTTACTTGTTCATGTTATTTCATTTACTTGGGATTTGGTTTTCCTATCACTTGACCAGTCCACCAACTACCCTTCACTGATTCTCTAATCCATGGTCATGTGTTGCATTTAGTTGTCATTTTCCTTTAATCTGGAACCATTCCTCAGCCTTTCTTTGTTTTTCATAACATTGTCATTTTTGAAGAGAATGGTCCAGTTTTATGTTTTATAAAATATGCCTTAATTTAGGTTTGTCTGATATTCTTGATTAAATTCAAGTACATGGTAAGCTTTTATCCAGTAACAGAGATGCAGCAACCAGACTTTTCTAGCCTTTCTCTTTATTTTTATTGATAGAACTTTGCTGTTCCATGGTACCTTCTGTTAAAATTAACAGAAGTTGGTCAGACCAGCACTTCCACATTTAGCCATGTGTATTTAGTTTTAACTACCCTAAGATATTCCCAGTGTCTGAATTCTTGATTCAGATTGACTTAAAAATCGGTAAGTATCTTGATGAAAGCAAGGAGAGAATCCCTCTGATCAAGTGAGGTTATTGCATTTCCCCTTTTTTTCAAATGTTATCAGGAGGAGTTTTCAAAATTTTTGTGTGGAGACCTCTTCTAGAATGTTTAAAATAATTATTCAAAAATTCCAAAAGTACAAAAAATATTAACAAATGAAAAGCTAAGAAGTTTTGTGTTGTGCTTTGGTGATTTGTTTTTTTCAAAATTTTTGTGTGGAGACCTCTTCTAGAATGTTTAAAATAATTATTCAAAAATTCCCAAAGTACAAAAAATATTAACAAATGAAAAGCTAAGAAGTTTTGTGTTGTGCTTTGGTGATTTGTTTGGGGGTGGAAAGGAGTATTTGTTTCAATCCTAATGTAAGATTTGCTTATTTTCCATGAATATTTTACTTTGTCTTACAGGGAGCTTATTAGATTTCCTTAAGGAAGGAGATGGAAAGTACTTAAAGCTTCCGCAACTCGTAGATATGGCTGCACAGGTATTTTCGTGTGTGTGTTTGTGTATGTATGTATATATTTATCCATTTGAATTGAAAGTATACACTTAAAATGTAAAATAATTTTAGTGTAATATTGTAGTTTATATAGTGAAGAAATAGAATTTTAGAACTGGAAGAAACATCAGAGGATAAACCATTGTGAGTTCCTAATGTTATAGATAATATAGTGTCTGAAGACCAGAGGTATCTAAAATTCACATCACTTGTTGGTAGCAGAATCAATAGTAGAATCAGTTATTTAACTCCCAGTCCAGTGCTGTCTTGAATCATATGGCCTTTTAGAAAATATGTGCTTCCACAAATATAAAGTCTATATCTATTTACATTTCAATTGATATATTTTAAACAGAAAATTTAAACAGATGAGTGCTATTCCAAAGAAAAGATTAGGCATCTAAAGTGTATGCTGAATTTTTTATTTAAGATAATCCAGGGGCTGGCCCGGTGGCGCACTGGATAGTGCGCCGCTTGGGAAGTGCGGCGGCGCTCCCGCCCGAGGGTTCGGATCCCACATACAGACCGGTTCCCGCTCACTGGCTGAGCGAGGCGGGAGCAACGCCGAGGGTTGCAATCCCGTTGCCAGTCCCCGGTCCGGTACGGGGGCAACACTGAGGGTTGCGATCCGTTGCCGGACACGGAAATAAGACAAAAAAAAAAAAAGAAAAGATAATCCAAAACAAGACGGCAATATAGTTATAAATGGGACTCTTTTACTCTTCCGAATTTGTGTTTTAGCTATAAAGTGAAAACCGTTAAGTTTCCACTCAGCTATGTGGTAGGTATTCAAGGGGCCTTCAGTTCACATGCTGGTTCTGGAGCTCTTACCTCTCAGCCAGCATCCAAATGTCCACAGAATCTGGTACTTTGGAGAAACTTTATACCAAGAAACTATACCTGTGAGACACGCATATGCCAGACCTGGCTCATGCTCCTGAGTTCAAGGCTCTTAGACATTCTGTGATAGAGGGGTCAGCAAATCTTTTTTGTAAAAAAATAAGCCAGGTAAATGTTTCAGACTTTGTGGACCACATACAATCTCTGTCGTATCTCCGCTTCCTCCTCCTTCTACAGTCCTTTAAAAATGTGAAAACTATTTGTCGTTCTGAGGTCATACAAAAACAGGCTGCATGTCACATTTGGCCTGCAAGCTGTAGTTTGCCAACCTCTACTTTGTAGTGAGATTTACACCAGGACATCTTAGGTTGTGCCTAACATGGATCTTGATGGGCTTGTGTCCAGAGGCACTAATTAACTCTGTGATTTATCTCTTCTTCTAACCACTGACACAAGAAGACTTTAGGACATTGTGCTGCTAATGGTGACTGGATATACTCGGGGGTTGAAAGTCTTGGCTTTCAAAGTAGGTGTCAGATTTTTGAAATCTAAATTTAGCCTGCTTTTTTTATTATAATGTTTTTAATTTTTCCAGTTACGTGTTAGACTGTGCCCTGTTACTATAATCTCCTTTTGAGATATATGATCTTTCAGTGATCTGATTTAATATTAACCAAAATTTTCTCCCTGCTTTCCTTTGTATCATGTTTTGCTTTTTTTTTTTCTTTCCAAGATTGCTGATGGTATGGCGTATATTGAAAGAATGAACTATATTCACCGAGATCTTCGAGCTGCTAATATTCTTGTAGGAGAAAATCTTGTGTGCAAAATAGCAGATTTTGGTTTAGCAAGATTAATTGAAGACAATGAATACACGGCAAGACAAGGCATATTACTTTTACATAAATGCTTATAACCTAATGTTCTGTGTTTTTTCTTAAAACTCCTTTGAACATACAGGGTTTTATAGAATAAGAATACTTCTAGGTCACCTCAGAAAAGTCATAGAAACATTGATTTTATTCATAAAATTATATACACTAAGTACCACTATGGCTATCTGATAGTTATTTCTTCTAAGGATGAACTTGACTAGGTGTTCTTTACATTATAAATATAGCAAGTAATATCCTCTTTACACTTTTTTTTGGCATGGCAACAAATAAGCGTTTTTTAATTCCTTTCGTAATAAACTTCATGAACCACTGAACTATGGCCTTAGACCAGAGGTTCTCAGTCAGGGGCAATATTTTCTTACCCTTCCCCCAGGGGACATCTGACATTGTGTAGAGGCATTTATGGTTGTTACAACTCAGGGACTTCTACTGGCATCTAGTGGGTAGAGGCCAGGCATACCACTAAACACCCTACAATGTGCGAGCAAGACACCCCACAACAAAGAATTATCAGGCCCAAAATGTCAGCAGTGCCAAGATCGAGAAACCCTGCTTTAGAGCTTCCTTTTCAGCCTCCATACCTTTGTGCCGTTACCTCCAGCTGGAATATCTTCCTGTTCTTGTGTAATCTTTATGTATAAAAATCCTAACTATTCTTTAAGGCTTAACTTAGCTGTCACTTTTTAAATGAAACCTTTTGTGATTGCACCAGTGAAAATTGATCTTCCATTTGTTTAAATATCTTAAAGAACTCTATTTTACAGCCCTATATACACATATGTGAATAACTTCACACATGTAAGACACCTATAATCTTAAATATTTGAGTAAATTAACATGGACTTTTAAAACTGATAATAGAATAAAATTTTCTAACAAGATATCATAAAATAGAAAAGAGATTATGCTCAAAAACCAGTAGACATTAGAACGCAACAGAATATGCCCTCATGAGCCAATAGCTACCTACAGTTGTTAGGTGCCAGACTGTTTCTTAAAAGTTACAGATCCGATTGTGTGGTAAGAGCATGTTTAGTTTTGTGTGAAACCACCAAACTATCTTCCAAAGTGGCTGTACTATTATGCATTCCCACCAGCAATTAATGAAAGTTCCTGTTGCTCCACATTTTTGACAGCATTTGGTGTTGTCAGTGTTCTGGATCTTTGTCATTCTAATAGGTGTGTAGTGGTATCTCATTGTTGTTTTAATTTGAAATTCCTTAATGATTAATGATGTGAAACATCTCTTCATATGCTTATTTGCCATCTGTATATTTTCTTTGGTGAGGTGGCTATTCAATTATTTTGCCCATTTTTTAATCACAACCTTCTTTTCTTATTGTTGAGTTTTAAGAGGCTTTTTTGGGGGGGTATGTTTGGATAACAGTTCTTTATCAGATGTGCTCTTTGCAAATATAGTCTCTCAGTCTGTGGCTTGCCCTCTCATTCTCTTGATATTGTCTTTTACAGAGCAGAAGATTTTAATTTTATTATTCAAGTCCACCTTATCAATTATTTCTTTCATGGGTTCTGCCTTTGGTGATGTATCTATGCCATACCTGAGGTCACCTAGGTTTTCTCCTATGTTATCCTCTAAGAGTTTTACAGTTTTGTGTTTTACATTTAGGTCTGTGAGCCATTTTGAGTTAATTATTGTGAAGAGTCTAGACCCGTTTTTTTTTTTTTTTTTTTATGTTATTGAATATCAGGAAGAAATGGGATTTATTTTAATATAAATTTCTAAAATTAAAGAATTTTTCCCATGTATCTTGTACCTTTGAAGAATTTGACACAGACACAAGAGGTATATTAACAAGAGATTAGCCTTGCTCATGCTATGTTTACACTAATAGTTTTTTTATACAATTAACTTAAGCAAGATTGTCAATATTGTTTTAGGTGCAAAATTTCCAATCAAATGGACAGCTCCTGAGGCTGCACTGTATGGTCGATTCACAATAAAGTCTGATGTATGGTCATTTGGGATTCTACAGACAGAACTGGTAACAAAGGGCAGAGTGCCTTATCCAGGTAAGCTTGCATTTCATTAGCTCTTGGTTATCCCATTAGCAACTTTAACAGGAGTTTATTAGGAGCAGAAATGTAAGGCGGGAAAAGGCCTTTTTTCTTCTCTCCCTAGCCCTCCCTCCCCCATCCTTCTCTTTGCTGTGACATTGTATGGACAGCAGCCAATGAGAGCCACAGTCGGTGACACAGGGCAGGCACAGGAGGTGCGCCCTACGTTCACCTCTGCTTTCTCCCTTAGGACATTTTCCACAAGGGCCTTTTATCTGTACTGTTCTCTCAGATAACACATGTATCTTAATTATCCTGGGTCTTTTCCCCCCACAAGTAACTCTTCTTTTCAGTAATGTGACCAGTTTATTTTCGTAAATATGTGTAAGTATTTGCCTTGTTTTTCCTCAATAGACTACTGTATTTTGAGAAGATCTTTTTCATGTTTTATTTTTCTTAGCAAAGCATATTTATAAACCATACTTTAAGAAGTTTATCTGTCATTAAAATGAAAAATAAAAAAGTTTCCTTCTCAAAAAAAGACATATAGCTTCTGGAGGCTTTTCGGCTCACTTGAAATTCAGCTACAAGTGAATATTCTTTTAGTCTGTTACTTCTCAAACTCTTCTACTAAAGTATCCCAATAGTTGAGGCTAGTGAAAGCCAATCTTCAGGAAAAACTATTCTGGTAATCTTCTGGTTTTTGCATGTTATCTAACATATCCCTCCTCCCTAATACCTCCACACATACATCTAATGCCACTGTATTTTATCACCCACTTTCCCTTGTTGCTGGTAATTGCTGATACTTACACTGGGAGAGGCTAACAGGAGGTGGTGTATTGTCTACATAGGAACAGCAGTTAAACAGACAGCTAGCTCTTCCTCAGGATATGGAAGCCAGAAAAGAGTGAAATTCTGTCTTTAAAGTGCTTGCGGGAAAACAGCTGACCTAAAACACCAGCAACGAAAAAATGTTGGCCAGCTACCAGAAACAAAAAACCACTTATCAAATTTATAATGTATATAAAGTAAATTTTATGACAGTAATAACACAAAGGACAGAGGGATAAAGGAGCAACAGGTAAATTGCTCTCAGTTTCTTTCACTGTTTGAAAAGTGTAAAAGTGCTTATTTAGATTGTAGTAAATTAAAGAAGCATGTTGTAATCTCAGGGATTAACACTGAAATAATATTAAAAGAAGGTAAAATAAAAAGCTAATAGAGGAAAGAAAAAAATGGAATAATGTAGAACACTTACTTAAAATAAAAAGCAAGAGAGGGGAAAGGAATACAGAAGCTCCTTTACTTATAATGGAACTACATCCCAATAAGTCCATCGTTAAGTAGAAAATACCATAAGTCGAAATCCATTTAATACACTGATAAATCCGTAGTAAAGTTGGAAAACATAAGCCAAACGATCAACTACATCCCAATAAGTCCATCGTTAAGTAGAAAATACCATAAGTCGAAATCCATTTAATACGCTGATAAATCCGTAGTAAAGTTGGAAAACATAAGCCAAACGATCATAAGTTGGGGACCATCTGTGGGTGGGACAAACATTAATTAAGGATAGTAGAATTAAACCCAACTCTATTCATAATTGTATTACATGTAAGTGCACCAAACATTCCAATTAAAAAACAAAGGGATAAGACTGGATTTTATGTACACAGTACATAAATGCTGTTTATAAGAGGCATACTTAAATATAAGGTATACAACATGATTGGAATTAAAGTGAAGGGCATGGCCCTGGTAGGTTTGAACCACCAACCTTTCGGTTAACAGCCAAACAATTTAGATTGTAGTAAATTAAAGAAGCATGTTGTAATCTCAGGGATTAACACTGAAATAATATTAAAAGAAGGTAAAATAAAAAGCTAATAGAGGAAAGAAAAAAATGGAATAATGTAGAACACTTACTTAAAATAAAAAGCAAGAGAGGGGAAAGGAATACAGAAGCTCCTTTACTTATAATGGAACTACATCCCAATAAGTCCATCGTTAAGTAGAAAATACCATAAGTCGAAATCCATTTAATACGCTGATAAATCCGTAGTAAAGTTGGAAAACATAAGCCAAACGATCGTAAGTTGGGGACCATCTGTGGGTGGGACAAACATTAATTAAGGATAGTAGAATTAAACCCAACTCTATTCATAATTGTATTACATGTAAGTGCACCAAACATTCCAATTAAAAAACAAAGGGATAAGACTGGATTTTATGTACACAGTACATAAATGCTGTTTATAAGAGGCATACTTAAATATAATGTATACAACATGATTGGAATTAAAGTGAAGGGCATGGCCCTGGTAGGTTTGAACCACCAACCTTTCGGTTAACAGCCAAACGTGCTAACCAGTTGCGCCACAGAGACACTGACTGGAATTAAAAGGACGGAAAAAGATATACTATGCAAATGCTAACCAGAAGAAAGCCTACACGTAGCAGTAGACTTTAAGGCAAGAAATATTACTGCAGACAAAAGGGGNTGCTAACCAGTTGCGCCACAGAGACACTGACTGGAATTAAAAGGACGGAAAAAGATATACTATGCAAATGCTAACCAGAAGAAAGCCTACACGTAGCAGTAGACTTTAAGGCAAGAAATATTACTGCAGACAAAAGGGGACATTTTATAAAGGTAAAAGAGTCAATTCGACAGAAACATAAAAATCCAAAATGAGTATGCAACTAACTTCAAAATATATAAAACAAAAATTGATATGATTGGGATATTCTAGTTCAATGTTCAGATGAGAATCAGAATATAAACAAGGTGTAGATTCCCAGTCTTTAAAGAAGAAAAAAGACATACTGCATAAGCATCGCTGTCTTTCTGGTGATTTGAAGAGGATTCTGAAAGAACTTTACACATGTGGCACAAACCCGGCCACTGCAGGCTCTTCTCACAACATGCTGTCCACTTTAGAGCAATAGCTTCTGTTCACTAGTCTTATTTTGGGACAGTAACAAACTTTGGCAATTGCAAATAGGTATGAAATGTTTAAATTTATTGTCAGATTGGTAAATGTTTACCATTTGATTTTAAGTACTGACGATCTTAGAATCTTTCTGTCTCCTTTTTTACCAAGGAGCGGGGATGAGAGATCTGGCTTCCCACTGGGCACAGGGAGTCATGTCTCACTTGGAAGCTCAGAAGTTCTCTTACAGGAAATGATTCTCTTCCTGAAGACAGAGAGTTTCTCTTAGATGCCATCTCTGCCGTATTTTACTTTCGTAGCTGGTGGCATAAAATAATTGGATAGTTCTGATTATCAGAAAATTCTGAAGGGTCTGGTTTTGAATGAAGGAGTTTATTGGTAATTAGAAGTTATTTTTGTAGGTTAAGACTTATTTATATTGATTAATTTTAACAGTTAATTAAAATAGTAAAGAAGCATAGCATAAAAGAACAAAGGCATAAGACTGGAAGAAAAGATTTCCTATTGTAGTAAGCCATCGTTGAATGTTCATTCCCTTGCTTCTTTCTGCTTCTCCTTTACAACTTCTGGTTATATTTCTGTGGTTGGTAAAGAGTATTGGATTTCACTTCTAAAGATGATACTGCCTGCTCAGATGAAAAGCTCAGAAAACTTTCAGGTGTTGTTCCCCAAAGTCATTCAGTTTCCTTTAATAGAAAAACAACAACAACAACAACAAAAAGAAAAACCCAAAAACAAAAAA